TATTGTACCTGCAAAATAAGAGCAAATAAATTAATTCTTAAATATTAGCTATTATAACACAATATCATGACATCATTCTATAATTAAATATTAGCTATTATAACAAAATATCATAACATTACTCAAGATCTGCTATCAAACATCTCAGCCGTCCACTTCAGAAACTATTATTAAATGTAGGATCTTGATTAGCAACTCATTTGACTTTCTTAATTCCTATAGCTAAAATCATGCATAAATAAATACCTATACTTTTTTAAAAAAATCTATGTCAAATAAAATAATAAATTATATATACACTTACATAATACACACCTATCAAGCAAATAAAGTAATAAATTATATATCAGCTGAAATCAGGACAGTACTATTCCTGTTATAATTTTTCTTTATTTCTTTATTTTATTATCTTAAATCATGCCCAAGAAATGTGTCTTCATAGTAGATTTTCATACACTGACCATATTTGTTATTACAATTTGTTTTGTTTTCCTGTTTAACATTCATTGACTTTATATTATAAATATTTGTCAGCACAACTCCAATTTTTCATTCAAGCTCCTATAATTTTACAGAAATTTCATAGCAGTAAAAATTAAACAGAAATGGCCCAAAACTATGAAAAAATCTTCTTCTTCAATGAAAACATGGATAAGGGAATTAAGTTGAAGCTGGTCAGACTTTACCAAAAGACTTCCGGTGACGATCCGACAAAGATTTCATCATTGGAGTTCGTATTTCACGATTTTGAAGTAAGTATTCAATTTATTATAACTATTATGAAACAATATGTCATACTTATTACTCATAATATTTTTGAACATTTATTTACATAAGGATACCGATTTCATGCCACGACACCAGAAGTTTTATTCAAAAAATTCAACGACCTTCATCTCGAAGAAGGACGTTTATATGCGATTACGTGGTACAAAGTCGTGAAAACACCAACCAATTTAAAGCCACTCCAAACAGCTGCAAAATTTCTATTTTATCAAATGGCTGAATTGGTTGAGACTACAAATGAAAGCTTTCATCAATCAATCTTCAAATTCAAAAAAATTTGGAGACTTGATAGATAAGAAGGCCTTCAAACCTACATTGCTCATAGGTGTGTATTTGTTTTTTTTGTTATTATTATACACAATGTACAAACAAAACTTATTATGCACAATCATTAAATTATTACTTTTATTTTGTAGATATCATCGGCCGAATGGTTATTTTCCATAACACTCGCAAGGCTGAGTCAAGGGGCACTGAAAATAATTCTGTTGAAGTTGTATTAGAGGATTTGAAGTAAGATTATCTTTATTCATGTGTTTATAACATGTTTGAATTTTTTCTAATTAAAAATTCTAATATCTTACATTTTTTTATAGTGGAAGACAAATCACATGTACCCTTCGTGAAGTGTATGCTGAATTTATTATGAATTCATTCAAAAATGCTTCACCTTCCGACCGACGAGTAGTCATTATTCAAATGTGCCGGGCAAAGGCTTTTGAAAATGGTATATTATACTCATTTTTAACTAAATTATTTTTGCTACAAATATTAACAATTACTCTCTCTCTATATGTTGTTTAGGGGTTGTCATAATTGGCGAAGATGAATTTGCTACAAAGATGATAACCTCTTATGATGTCACTGAAATTTGTGACTTTAAAGAAAGGTAATTATATCTTTTATTATTTTAATATTAATAATCATAATTTATTTCTTCAATATTTTTGTCATTATTTATTATATGCATCTAATTTTACTTTTTTAATTATCGACAAGGTACAAAAACTTATCTCTAACCGATATGTAGTGCCTCATAACAGAAAATTGCTGCTTAAGTACGGTGCACACATAAACATGGATTGGTGCAACCAGTCAGGGTCAATCAAATATTTGTTCAAATACGTGAATAAGGGCAATGATCGTGTTACTGCCACCCTCTACGAGTCCAATGGCGATGAGTCCTCAAACACACCGATTGATGAGGTAAAGATGTATTATGATTGCAGATATGTTTCATCTTATGAGGCTGCATGGCGGTTGTTGGACTTTGAGATTCAGTACAAGCATCCATCAGTTGAGCGCTTGAACTTTCATCTCGAGAACGAGCATCCTTGCCTCTATGATGATGAAGATTCGATCGAGGATCTGGTTGATAAAAATAAAAATGCGGGAGTAAGTTTTTGGCTTGGATGGAAGCCAACAAGAAGTATCCCAAAGCGAGGAATCTGACATACGTTGAGGCTCCTACTAAATTTACGTGGCATCCGGATACGAAGAGTTGGGAGCCCAGAAAAGGAAGAGATCATATAGCCCGTTTGTACTTTGTCCCGCCCAGCGCTGGAGATATTTACTACTTGAGGTGTCTTCTCGGTGTTGTTCGAGGAGCAACCTGCCATCGTGACTATATGAAGTTGGACGACGTCCAATACGATTCGTATCGTGATGCCTGTTTTGTCCTCGGTCTTGTGGAGGACGACAATGAGTATATTGAAGGAATTATTGAGGCGAGCCAATGGTCCAGCGCACACAGTTTGAGGAGCCTATTTGCTACTCTTCTATCTTCTGATACTCTTGGTCGTCCTGAGTTTGTTTGGGAATCCTGTTGGCCTTACCTCTCGGATGACATTCTATATAATCGACGTAGAATTTTACATCACAAAGGTAATTGTTTCAGTTATTCTTATCTTCTAATGTTTATTGTTTTATTAATTGTTATCTTAACTTTTATAATGTATTTTATTGTTGTCCTATCATATTTGGTGATGAGCGACGATGAAGTAAAGAATCTCGCTTTGGCGGAGATCGAGAAGATTTTGCGTAGGCGTGGGACGAGTTTACGCGAATATGGTACCATGCTTTTCCTAATCTCAATCGTAATGAGGCATCCACTAACAGACTTGTGATGGATGAGTTGAATTACGATCGCCGTGCATTGGATATTGAGAATCGTGAGTTGGTTGACAATATGACCGATGAGCAGCGCAATGTTTATGACTCGATAATGGAGTCGGTTTCCCACGACCACGGCCGCATATTCTTTGTTTATCGCTACGGCGGCACTGGTAAAACATATGTCTGGAGGGCGTTGTCCTCTGCTTTGAGGTCCAAGGGTGAAATTGTATTGAATGTTGCATCGAGCGGTATCGCGTCGCTTTTGCTGCCCAGCGGATGCACTGCGCATTCTCAGTTCAAAATCCCATTAAACCCAACGGAGGGGTCTACATGTGACATTAGCCAGCAAAGTCCTTTGGCGGAATTGATTATACGATGTCGCTTGATCATTTGGGATGAAGCCCCTACGATGAATAAGTATTGCTTTCAGGCGGTTGACAATACCTTGCAAGCCATAATGAAAGTAGTGGATTCATCGAGGAAAAATCTCCCTTTTGGCGGCAAATTCGTTGTACTTGGTGGGGATTTTAGGCAGATACTTCCTGTTGTTCCTAAAGGCAGTCGAAGTGACATAGTGAATGCCACGATCAATTCATCCAAGTTGTGGCAGGATTGTATCGTTTAGAGACTGACTCGGAATATGAGGCTTCGAAGCCTTGGTGCGGGTAATGAGTACGATGAGCTGAAGCATTTCTCGGAGTGGCTTGCAAGCATTGGAGGCGGAACACTCGGTGGATCGAATGACGGATGTGCCGTTATTGAGATTCCCGATGATATTATTCTGAAATCACAAGGGGATCCTTTTGCTACTATTGTCGAGAGTACCTACCCAATGTTCAGGAGTTCAGACGACGACCTTAGCTATTTGAAGGACAAAGCCATACTCGCTCCCACACTTGACGTGGTTGAGTCCGTTAACGAGTATATGAGCTCATTGAACTCATCCGAGGCGAGGACTTATTTGAGTTCGGACACCGCATGCAAGTCAGATGCTAGATATGACGCTCTTCAAAATCTTCATACGCCTGAACTTCTGAATGGGATTAAGTGCTCGGGACTTCCGAATCATAAATTACACTTGAAGGTTGGCACTCTAGTGATGCTATTGAGAAACATTGATCATTCAATGGGGTTGTGCAACGGTACGCGTTTGGTTATTACTAAGCTCAGCAACCATGTACTCGAGTGCAAAATTTTAACAGGTGCCAGAGCTGGTGATAAGGTTCTTATTCCAAGGGTCACGATCATTCCTTCGGATTTGAGGGTACCGTTCAAGTTTCAGCGCCGACAGTTTCTTATCATGGTCTCCTATGCTATGACGATCAACAATAGTCAAGACCAGTCTCTCTCACACGTCGGTTTAATCTTGAAGACCCCTGCTTTTAGTCATGGACAGTCGTACGTGGCTCTTTCTAGAGTCACAAATCGGAAGGATTTGAAGATAATGATATATGGTGATGGTGATTTCGACGATAGGAAAACCTTGAATGTTGTATACAAAGAAGTGTTTAATAATATTTAGAATTATTTTTTTAATTTTTTTTTTTTTTGAATAAGTCATGATTATGTATTATTATTTTTATATTGTTAACTCTTCTAAGTATTCTTTCCGTACAAATGCACGGGTTGATTACTAGTTGATAAATATAATTTTAATCAAATTGAGACACAGCACGGCGATAGTTTTCAACTTATCATACATCCATCGTCCTAGTATGCGATACTTCAACTAAACTCGATGATATGATAACATATACATGCATAGTATGCATACATGTTATAAAATACAGTACACCCTTTCTCCCCAACAACACATACCATCATGCTACCATTTTTATAATAAAATAAAATTAAAATCAAAATATTTTCCTTTTTTTCTGGCTGCGCTCGATCTTTGCGACTCCCCCTTTTCCTCTTCGATCTTCCAAAGATTAGGGTTTTTTCGGCATCTCCACTTCTCTTCCAATTTCAATTTCTCCTTTTAAAAAAAATATCTTTGCTAAATATTCTCTCTCTCTCTCTCTCTCTCTCTCTCTCGATTCGATTAATTCTCAGAGCTTATAGATCTTCAGCTCTCGATTCGTTTGCCCTCACAAGATATGTTCTGGAAGCTCACGGCCCTGTCAGCATCGTCTCCTGTAAGTCAACGGTCCAGCTCCTTGTTTGTTTTTTTCGCATCCTGTTCTGTTGGGTTGTAATGAATTCTTGAAGTGCAGAATATGTGGTGTTGAAGTAGCTTCGGCCTTAAATTTTGTGATTAGGAGCTTTAGCTGAGTTTCGTCTACTTTACATCATTGTAGATGCCAATTTTTTCCCTTATCCCCTTGAGTCCACTGTTTGTTACAACGATTGTGGTTTGCTGCTGTAGTTCTGAAAGTGTGCGCATTGCTTGTTTTTGCAGCCTTTTGTTTTCCTGACAATTGTATTGCTGAATTATTTATGAAGCAGTTGAAGTCCAAGATTTTCCCTTTTTCAGATACCCTTTGTGCTAAAGGTTCTGTAGTTAGGTGTACCTAAGCATTGGAGTTTTTTGACATAGGTTTTATTTTTCCTTGCTTTTCTTGTTGCTGTCTAGTCTAGTGTCTACCTCTCCACCTTGCAACTCGCTTTTGACTCTTGGTCTCTCTACTGGCTTTATGTTCGTTTGGTCCCTTGCAACTAATGATCCGATCTTCAGTTCAAAATGAGTCCCCAGATTAAGAGAACCGACATTTCAACTTAAGTGGGTATAGCCATATAAGATGTTTGAAACTAAGGTGTAAAAGTAAGCATAGTGATAACCTTTTTGTATTTTTGTTTAAGTTTGTAAATGACTAATTTAAACTTGCCCATATACGTGGGACACTGTATCTCCTGTTTGATTGCTTTGCCATTAGAGACAAGAAATAAGCTGGCACAGTTGTGTTCAGATGACTTAATGAATGTCCCTGTATCAGGTTAGGCATCCGTAGATTTTTCTTTAGAATGATATTCGACAGTTTGTCAAAGATAGACTTGTCTGGTTGAACCTGGTTGAATAGGTACACATCTTATCTGCTCGAATAGTTGAACCCAACTATCCATAACTCTTTCAGTTACATCAGTTAAGATAAACAATGATTATATCTTATGCTCATTATCGACTCAGGAACTAGGCCCAGTCATGGTTTTACAACAAAATAAAAGAAGACAATTCCGTAGATTGTGAAAAATGCCCACTTTACTACTGATTGGATTAAAAGCTAAATAGTTGAGCTCAAGCTCTATTGTAAAACTAAACCAGCATATTGCATACTGATATACACACTCATTGTTCTCTCTTCACATCCGTTTAAATCTACCGACCTATCATAGTCAAGTTCTAAACCGAGTATTTTCTGACTTCTGATATATGCTTATTATGGTTTTAGGTTGAGGCTGTGCTGGACAAGGAAAATTTTACATTGGAAGAGCTTTTGGACGAGGAAGAAATCATACAAGAATGCAAAGCATTAAACAGCCGCCTTATAAATTTGTACTCCTTGCTTAGTTTCTTATCTCTTTTGACATTTCCTGTGCTGTAAAATTATTCAGTTATTTTCGTTAGAATCACAAACTTTTTGGTTCTCCCATTTTACTTGAGAATTGATTGGTTTGGTTTCAGTTTGAGAGATAGAGCTCAGGTCGAGCAACTGCTGCATTACATTGTTGATGACCCTTCCGAGGATGCAGATAGCAAAAGAACCTTCAAGTATGTCATTGTAGTTTCAATACCTACAAGTTACTGACTGTGTATAAGAAACTACTGGTTCATTATGAATGAATAATGGGAGGCAGAAAGGGAAATTTTCACCTAGTTGGTCATTTTGGATACTCATTTGATGTAAAACCTTTGTCTCACTTTGCAGGTTTCCCTTCATTGCTTGCGAAATTTTTACATGTGAAATTGATGTAATCTTGAAGACTTTGGTGGAGGAGGAGGAGGTTAGGAGATTTAATTATACAATTGAAGTAACATATTTTGATGGTGATCCTGATTCTCACTTTACTTGTCGGAGCTCAATCATTTTTTGTAATTATTTCCAGCTTATGGACTTGCTCTTCTCATTTCTGGAACCAAACCGTAATCATAGTGCATTACTGGCTGGGTATTTTAGTAAGGTTCGGATAAATCACTGCATACACTTGTTTCTTGCTGTTTTGATTCTGCACATTCGACACAACTGACTTTTTAGTGAAATTTGTGTTATTTTGCAGGTTGTCGTGTGCTTGATGTTGCGGAAGACTGTCTCGCTCATGAATTATGTCAAGGTGATTTTAGTGTTACTTTTGATTGAGCTCCATTTTGCATGCTAACTGAAATTTAATCTGAACAATTGAAAAATTTGATATATACCCGTTTCCTTTTGCTTCACCACTTCCCTGGTTTTGATTAGGTTCAGTGGGAGGGAAATGGATAATTTTATTTCTTCAGTATCTTTGTGTCCTGTCTCCAGATTGGTTGGTAGTCTTTGTATCAGTGTGATCTTATAAAAGGTTAAGACTTGAGATAAATGAGGTTCAAATGTCGTGTCATGGGGCTAAGAGATTTGCATGTAATTTAGAATAATTATGAACGCTAGTTTTGCTTTGGCTTCTTTTATACATCTATTGCTTCAGAATGGTTTCCTTAATAAGCATTAAATTCATGTTAGCATCATTTTCCTGTTAGGTTTGTAGTAATTAAAGGCTAATGGGGAGCCACAGCGATTGCTTACGGAGTTTAAAAAGAACTATATGCAATCCAAGAGAAACCAAATTATTTGTTATGTAACCTAATTAAAAGAGTTTCTTACGGCATATTGAGAAGATGGATTTCTTGGCAAATAGCTATATCTCCTTCTCTCACCCCTTTCCATAATTCATGGAAATAGATAAAAGTGTAAAGAAGCTTAAAATCCGATATTATTTAGTAGTACACTAGTTTAAACATTAGATTTTTAAATGGGTATGCGTAGATCTGAAATTAAGATGACTAAGTGAATATTCTACTATTATGAAGTTCCAAATAATTTTGGAAGTGTGCATCTGAGGAAGCTTTAGGTTTGGTGGGCCTTTTGTGAGATACTAAAATGTCGAACATGTACAATTTATGCACAATGGCTGCGTGAAAGCCAGTTTTGCTGTTCTATAGAATTCTACTTCAACGGAATTTTCAGAGGAGGATATATTTTCTGTACAAGTTTTTCCATTTGCCTAATGATGTTGGTTCTTTTGCAGGCCCACCAAGATGTTTTTAAGCAGCTGGTTGATTTGATTGGTATCACATCCATCATGGAGGTTGATTCTTTTATCTATCTTTCCCTAGTTAGCTTGAGTCTCTATTCTCTAATTCTTTTTGGCATATCAAAACTGGCTTAGCTTGCTGCTGCTGTTTGTGTGCTCTCTCTCTCTCTCTCTCTCTCTCTCTCTCTCTCTCTTCTCATTTAACTCTTTATTTTATCAGGTCTTGGTGCGGCTTGTTGGTTCTGATGACCATCTCTACCCCAATTCGTTTGATGTGATGCAGTGGTTGGCTGATAGCAATCTGTTAGAAATGATTGTTGATAAACTTAATAACACAGTAAGTTCAAAGAGAACTTAAAAGTCTAACCATAGGTACATTTGCTGTTGCTGTTGGTGCAGGTATCTAATCAGTTGATTTAGTTGTTAGTTACTTGCAAGTTAGAGCAGCGCATCTATATATCACTTTACTAGTTAGATACATGATGTGTCGTGATGGTTCTTGTTGTCTCCATGAGCGTTGTATATGTTTTCATATCTTTGCTAACTAGTCAGTGTTGGGTTGTTGATATGTTGCTGACAAATGGTCATTTGGAAGCATAATCAGTGTACTTGCTCCTGTTATCTGGCCATACCCAGAAAGATGTTTGGGCATTGGACTGCTGTATGTGGATTTAGTGACTAATTTTGCTACGCGTCAGAGGTTTAACGCTTAAAGATATTTAATGGGCAGGAGTTCATCTCATAGGATACGGCTGCTGTGGCTCTTTTGATAATTATTAAATATGTGTCGTTCACCTCGTCATTCCCTTTTCTGGTTGGGTCACACAACTGCAGGGTTCAATGATGGAAAATTATAAGAAATTGCTAATGCAAAGGAAATACAATATTATAATGTATCAGGATCCAGTCCATCGGCTTTGTAGACTGAAGTTCTCCCCAAGGAAACCTCTTGGCCAAAGCATAAAGCGGAAAACTGAATCTTTTAAGACATGTCTTGGTATAACAAATAATACACTCTTAAATGATGAATAGCATACCAAGCCTAATGATATCTAGATTTGACAGGGCATTGTGACCCTAATGGGTGCAGAACTCACTGGTTCATTTTTAAACAATTATAATGAGATAAACTACAAGAAAATTACCTGTATCGTTCTATAGCAAGGCTTAGGAGGCATAGGTGATATTATCATATTTGATCTCTGCTCTGGTTTTAATCTGGTTTGAACTTTGAAGATTGTTTGATTTATCCCTAATGATATGCTCCCGGATTTTTCTTGCAGAATCCTGCTGAGGTACATGCTAATGCAGCAGAAACACTATGTGCTATAACCAGGAATCCACAATCACCTCTGGCCACTAAACTATGTAGCCCAAGGTTTGTAGAGCAAATATAAATATTTTCTTTGTGAATAGTGTTACATATTTTATGTTTTTAACTTATTAGCATTTATATTTTGCAGCTTTGTGGAAAGAGTATTTGGTCATGCGCTTGAAAACTCGCCTTCAAAATCGGCTCTTGTTCACTCGCTCTCTGTTTGTATTTCTATATTGGATCCAAAAAGATCAATTTCTTCCTCAGTGATGCACGCTTTCAGAAGTCAACATGTTTATGAACCACCAGCACATGTAAAACCAGATACTGTTGGTGCTATGCTTCCGAAACTAGGTATGCAACTGCAGATTGTTGATAATACTATTTGCCTCTCTCTATGTAAAGTTGGAAAGGGCTGTAACTCTATTTTTAATTGGAAAGGGAGTTTTGGTTAAATGAAATTCACTTTATTCTATTATTTATGGAAGATACACAACTCTATTGGTACCTATATTGTGAAATTCGCTATAAATTTTTGTGGCTTGATTGCGATTAAATTATGACTTTGAAATTTGTGATTTTGAGCTACTAAACAACTAAACAAGTACACAATCTTTGTTGAATTTTGCAATTCGAAACACCATCTCTCTCCCGACCAACAAGGGCCAATGTCTGTAGATTACTGCCATAGATCCAACTTCTGGATTTTTATAAATCTTACGTTTCTAGGCCAATCACCTCAGGAGGAATCAAATGCAACCTCCTGATAGACATTCATAAATTTGTAGCTTCATCTTTGGCTAGTTGGTGCAAATTGCCATCATCAACTTTTAAGGTAGATTGCCAGCGAACGACTAATCCTAGATTGACGAGACAACTCAATTTTTTTTTTCTCTTTCCGAAACTTGTGCAGCCATATATTTACAAATTTTTGCAAGGAAAGAGTTTGAGTGTATTGTTGACACTCTTAAATTCATATTTTGTTCAATAAATTTTCAATGCATCCTTAAGTCTTCTAATAGCATGTTCGAATTCTTAGACATATTTGCTGCCGCCACAATTCGTAGCCTGTTACAATTTACATGAGGTTGTGTTTTATAATTTTCTAAGAATGTCATAATAAGCATTACACAATTGGTGTTCAGGGGAGATGCTAAAGCTTTTGAATGTTACATCTGACGAGAAAGTTTTACCCACAACGTATGGTGAATTGAGGCCTCCTCTCGGACAATACCGTTTAAAGGTTAGTTTTCACTACGCGACGGTATATTTTTCCTGCAACGCTCTAAATGGCTAACTATATCACCCCTAACCGCAAAGTTGAATTTTGGAGCATATGGATCATTTTGATCTTGAATAAATTCACGGAAACAAAACTTACAATTAATTTACAAGACTTGAACATTTTGACATGCCTGAAGTAGTTATTATGTAATTCTGATATTGTTGTTGTTTAGTCCCTAGAAAAAACTGAGGACAGAAACCATGTAGTTACCAATATAAATAATTAATCTCTTCTATTTGCTGAAGTTAACTGTTAAGTTTATCTGTGATACCTGATTGTAGATTGTGGAATTCCTTGCTGTGCTGCTAAAAACTGGCAATGAAGTGGCAGAGAAGGAATTGGTTGGTTCTGGAACAATCCGGAGAGTGTTCGATCTCTTTTTTGAGTACGATACGTTCTACTAGATATGCCATGTTCTCATAGTTGACAGTGTTCGGAATCTGGCGATAGACTGCTATTACTTATTCTATTGATCTTATGTTTCCATGCAGGTACCCGTACAATAATGCTTTGCATCATCATGTGGAAAGCATTATATACTCATGCTTGGAAAGCAAAAATAGTGCCATAATTGATCATCTTGTCCTTGAATGCAATTTGGTTGGCCGAATTCTTGAAAGTGATAGAAGTCCTAACCTTTCTTGTGAAAATAATCTGGTAAATCAATAACCCTTAATAGAAGTTTATTGGTTTGTGCATATCTGTTTGTTGTTTTAGTTCATTATGATTCTATGCTCCTTGATGGATAGAGGAGAGATGAAAGTTAACACTTGCTTTCTTGAGATAATGCATATCCCTGGTGAACAATCTATCGTATCTTAATCTTGTAGGTAAAGCATATCAATGTGAAAATCTATATACCACTCCTGATTTATTTTCACACATCTTATTTTAAAGTTAGAAAACAACCAATATATTATGTATCATCTAGTATATTAGTAAACGACCAAAGGCGGTAAAGATGCCTCCCACCCGTCGAGCAGGGACGAAAGTCGGCCTTGCTAGACATTCTACTGAAGGTGGCAAAAGTTTGTTATAGAAGATTTTAATTATTTCTTATGGAAATGAAAAATATATTGTTATGTCTGTATAAATGTTGATAGGTTTATAATGTATATAGCCATTATATGTGTATACTTATTTATTTATATTAATGAAATGATTTATTTTCTTGTTTTTTTTTACTCTGCAGTTTATATATATTTATACACATTGATAATTGTTATTAAATATCCACACTCATGTATATATATGTAAAGATTGAGCTGAACACATAATAGTTATGTAGTCAGCTGGATGTGTCTTATTATATTCACAACTTTGAAGGCACGGAAACTTTCCATCCTTTCAATTATATACATGAATATATTGCAGAAATTAAAAAAGCTTAGGTATCTTTTTAGCGTGCTATATATATATATATATATATATATATATATTTATTTATTTGAATAGAAAATTCAAGCTGTTGACAGTTTTCTTGCCTTCCATATGAGGCACAGAGGATGTCCAGCCTTTGCCTGGAACATCGACTTTTATTATCGTTGAAACTAATTAATCATCATACACTTTTACAACAAACTGTTAGGAAAGCGTAACTCTGGTAGTTCTTTTACTTCTATGTATGAATACATATGCATATTTAAATAATGTTCTGTTTATTGATTATTTGACGCGTCCTTAACTTTCAGCTTCACCTCACCCTGCGTCGTTTACCATTTTTCCTCTGCATGCTTCTGTGTGATGATTTTAATTGTTATATATGACAGTGACCATTTGAATAATTGCAGCCAACTAAGCCAGCTTCTGGAAAGCATGCTCCTCGAGCAGGGTACTTTGGGCACCTGACTAGGATCGCAAATAAATTAGTTCAGTTGGGAAACAGTGTCATTGAAACACATCTTCAGGTTGGCGACAAGTTTACAGAGTTGTCGTGGAATTTCAATTCTACAGCATATAATACATTGATATTTTCAAGTTTTACCTGCGATAAATTGTTAGGAGTAGAGACAATTTTATTCTGTTTTCTTGTGTGTTAGAATAATGAGTGGCACATATGGTTTTTAGTTTTATATGACATGGGTTGTAATATCTGTTTCTTCACTTCAGGAGAATAGTGAGTGGAATGAGTGGCAGAAGACCGTCTTACAGGAGCGTGGTATGATTGAAAATGTTTACAGATGGGCTTGTGGGTAAGACTTCTTTCATTCATTTGTAGTCGTCTTATCACGAATCAAATTGTTATGGATTTTTATAATCTATTTCGCTTGAAAATAGGTCAGCTGTGACACTTATGTGAGTGGATTTGAAAAGAACTTTGTGTGCCTTAAAGCGCTTGTGATTTATTAGGGGTGAGAAATTGGCTGACTTTACAAAATACACTAGGATTGAACCATATTTGTTGTTTGCCTGACAATTGAATAGCCTGCTAGCTTGTGTTACTGTTGTCTGATTAAATTTTTCTGGATCAGAGAATTTCCTCTTCCTATTTTCTTCAAAAAGACGTTCTTGTTCAACTGGACTGCAGTTGAGAAAATGATACTAATTCTTGCCCTCCTTTGCAGCCGTCCGACGGCACTACAAGACAGGACCAGGGACAGTGATGAGGAGGATGTTCATGATAGGGATTATGATGTTGCGGCCTTGGCCAATAATTTAAGCCAAGCATTTAGATACAACATATACGACAATGATGACAATGAGGTGATTATCCAAACTGTGGGTGAAAGGCGACTCATTTTTATTCCCAAGAACTTTCTCCAAATATGGACATGTAATTTCTTTTATAGCCACCTATTTATGTATGCATTCTGTGTTACAGGGCCACGGATCTCTAGATCGTGATGACGAGGTAATATGTGGAGTCAAAATTCACTATTTCTCTACCTGCATCTTGATATAGGCATACACCTAATGGTTGGTTGTTCTTAATTTCTGAGTACCACCTATAAGAAACCCAATGTTGCAATTGTGACATACATGTTGACAAAAACTAATCATATATGTTTGACTTTGACATAAATTGATGAAATCTGTAGGATGTCTACTTTGACGACGAATCTGCAGAAGTTGTAATATCTTCCTTAAGGTTGGGTGATGAGCAAGGGAGGTAAGTCCCATTACTCTTCACTTTTATTCCCCAACACATTCTAGATTCTCAACTCTCTCCTTTTGTTTTTTTTTCCCCAGCTTGTTCACAAACTCCAACTGGTTCGCTTTCCAAGACGAAAGAATTGGCGACAATGTCCCCATTGATCCCTTGGCATCGGACACGCTCGACGGTCTCAAACCCAG